TTATAACTTTACGACTTCGGGACGTATTCTCCTAGCTGCGAAGTTTGATGTTCGTGCTAAATTAATAATAATGGAAATAATATTGTTTTACGACGGGGAAGGAGTGTAATAAAATTTAAATATAGCTAAAAACCGTAAAGATGAACCTGCTAAAACATTTTGTAGTAATTTTGACCCTGCTACATTTGCAAAATATCGCTAAACAGCTTTAAATAGCTGAAGAACTTTATTCAGCCTCAAACGTTACTTATCTTGAAGTTTCTAAACAAAACCCAGTTTTGATTGTAAGTTGATGTAACTTTACATTGTTTGACACAGTTTTGTTTCTAATCTAGCTTCAGTAAATAGAAAGTTTACGTATCGCGTGTTATCCTGCAGGCGTGAGTCGCCTCGTGTTTGTTGTAAAAATAGCGTGGGTAATGTTCCGCTATAAACTGCGATATGAACTTGGGCACGACGATACAATTTGTCTATTGTAACTTATAAGTACTTACCATTGTTCCTAAATATATGAATTGCTAGGATTTGAGACATACTTAATTTGGGATGTAAGTACTTTAACAATTTTTTTTGAGTAACAAGGAAGTACCTAAATTGAAATTCTCAATTACTGTTTTTGCTCGTGGTATATTAAGTAAATACAAATTAAAACTATCTTTACTTTTAGTTGTATGAGTGTTCTGGCTGCTCTTTGCCACATTTGTTTGTTTTACAATTAATATTACGATAGCGCTCGTTTAATTTTTCATCAAAGTTCACCTTCACGACGTAAACGACTTAATTTTTGTGATTGACTATAAATACGACCTACGAACCAGCACAATGATCCAATACAAACCAAAATAAGGCTATACACACAGAATTGTCATAGAACACAAGACAAATACAATTAAACAAATATGATATACCATGGCTGCTCGTGTGTGGGGTATAAAACACTTTTATGTGCGATTGCGTCCACAGTTGATCACATTTAACGAGTGTGTAGAGAAGACGGTTTAGAGCCCCCAATAAAACAATAAACGCGCTCTTATCACGCGTTATCAAACGCAGCAAACATTAAATTTATTTGTACGCGTTCCTTGTTAATGTACTCGTAAATACGTTTGTATGAACCGACGTTTGTTCTAAACTGACACGCGATAACTTAAACTAATTGTATTCGGTTTAAAATAACCACAGGTGGGTTAATTGTAGCTTGTAAGATTAAGTACATGATGCTGGTATTAGCTATTTGTTAGTTGGCTATATATTTTTTTAAAAATATTGCCCCACACTGGATTTTCTTCTGTGTCGTGCATGCGTTTACAAACATACAAATTCACACACACATGACACTCGGACCCGAAACAACAATTTGTTGATCACACAGTGTTGTTCCGTGAGGGAATCGAACCCGCGGCACGCTGCATGGCAGCCGGTTGCCCACCCACCGCACTAACCGTATAGTCAACCTCAGGGCTTAAAATATACATAGAGACTTCATGACGTCATAGTAATTGATAGTTCCTGAATATACTTTTAAACAATGTATAACCTGGAGTTGTGGCTTTCACAATTAAGGTAAATAGAATATTATATCTCACATATACTCACGTATACTCACATATACTCACGTAAATAGAATATTATAGTCACAGTGGCGGCAAATATTACAACATAATTATGACGAAAGATTTTTTGTCGTGAATCATGACAATGATGTTATGAACTTCATAGGTATTATGTAAACAGAAATTCAATACAATTTAATGTTTTATTTTTACATCACACCAAAACCAACAATGATAGTGGAAATGAACAAAATTTATTGCGTTGAACATTTATTCTTCAAATTAAAAATAAACAGTACATTAAAACAAAAGAAAGAATTACAATGCGGTCACATTTTTAATTGTAATTACTGACAGCATTCCCGGCTATCAATTGTACGGATCGTGACTTTTCCCAAAACAATGGGATCAGTACATGTAACTGCGAAGACGGCGACTTTAAATAAACATCAATAAAAATCAGTTATAACAATATTAACAATACAATGGAAAATAACGTGGATTTCCACTATGTTGTGTAACATACAGATTGTCTTATAAGCCTTGTATATGATTGTCTAGACGCAGGATCTCCTTTTTACTTTAGTATCGAAGAAAGTAATAGATAAGACGGCATAGAACATCCAGTACCCTATCTGTGCTTGCTATTATTGTTTTATTTTTTTCACAAATCTATGCAACATTAAAATGTTCTTTATCTGTAATATTTCCATTTATTTTAACTTTCTAGTACATTAAATGTCATTTAAAGTATTTACATTACCATCAATAAATTAGCTTCAATGCTAAAGTTTGTTTTATCTTTCAAGTTATAACTTTTGCCTTAACAAAACAATGATCTTTACAAACATACTTTATTAATAAAATCCATCAATGTTAAATTCAATTTTATTATACTTTTTAAAAAGCCATGCAGATGTAAGTCTCATATGGCGGGCGCTATAAATAAGGGCGCGCTCACACGGTCGTGTCTCCAGTGACTAATTTGTTAACAAGTGTTCGGGGACACTTAATTACGTTGCAAGCAGCGGGGCGTCATCGTCGTTCAACGAATACATTACTTTGTCAAGATATCCTCGTTAAATAATGCTGCTATTAGTAAACCTTAATTGAATTTATGAAAGCAAGCGTTTCATGTTTCGCTTCCGTGATTATTACCTACTTACTTGATGGGATCGCTTTTGAGAAATTGGTTGTCTAATAACTTGTATGTTAACTTTGAACTCAGAAAATTAGCTAGAAGGAAAATGAGAGGTAGGTCGTAATCATAACTTTCATGTCATGTTATTTAATGTTCATCTAGAATTTCTATTTATTCTGTTCCATGTCAATGGGGCATACGGTATTTTTACTCACCGGGTAACGTTAATGTGAACCTCTCGTTCTTTGTCTATTAGGGACTAGCTAGTGTCACACTATTGGACGTACAATACTTGATAAAACCCTTGTAAATCCGATTGAAAAAGAGTAACCTATGGAGTTTCTTGCTCGTTCTTCTCCATAGGAATCTACACTTTGGAATGAGCAACTAGCTTCACTACTAAATTTTTTTGTTGTTAACGTTCAAAAGTGCCTTCCTGGTCTAATTGAAATAAATGATTTTGACTTTGACTTTCATAGCTGCAGTGATTGAACTAAAAATCTCTTCCTTATGCTGCCAATTCTTTACGTTACACAACTCGCTCGGATTCATTCCCAATTTTTTAACATTTACACTATTATATTTATTCATTACGATATAAATCTAAAAACTTATGTTAAGTTGTCAGTCATTCCTTCAGATAAGTAAATTACAATTTGAAATATCCGTCTCATTTCGTGTATTTACACGTGTAATATTATATTTTGCGATGTTTCATATTTTCATTCATAACACACGCTGCTGTCACCTAGTTCAAACAGTTTATTTTAAGACATTGAATGTCACACGAGTAATTGTTTCTGTTGTTAAAGTCATGAAGTTGTTATCTTATGTGCTGATACCTGAGACATCGTTTTTAACGAAGGCTGAATCACTGTTCAGTATTTCCGCTGAAATTCATACTTTAACTATACTGTATGGAGTAGTGTGCTCCATACGGTATATTGTACTCTGTAGACCCTAGAGTACTCTGTAGTAAAATCTTCAGAAATCGAACCCTAGAGGGTTCGATTCCCGGGTCGGGCAAAGTATTACAGGGTTTTACAAAAATTCTCAATAGTAGCACGGAGTCTGGAATTGTGCCCGTTATATGGCAATAGGCTCATCCCCTATTACATGGGACTCATAACATAAATAGTGAAAAGTGGGTGTTACATTGTACAGTGGCATAATGTACACCTACCTTACTCCTTCGGGGATAAAAGGCGTGAGTATTTTACTAAACAAACATGGTCTCTAAAAAGGACGAAACAACAATGCGATCAAAGATACTAAAGGCGCCACTTTTTATACAACCGAATTTACTGATACGATTTATCATACATAGTTTTGCGATGTGTTCCCGAAACTTTTGTTTTTAAACAAATAAGTTGAACCACATTAGGATTTTCTCCTGTGTCGTGGGTGCGTTCACAAACATGACATGACACATAGGCTCGGAACAATAACAATCTGTGGATCACATAAAGAGTTGTTCCGTGCGGGAATCAAACCCGCGACACGTTGCGCGGAAGCCAGTTGCCCAACCACCGCGCCAACCGTGTAGTCAAACTAGAAATTATCAGTGCTACTTGCACGTTCTATAAGATTAAACTGTCAAACACCAAGCGGTCACCGGTGACCGCAACCTATTGTTCTATAATTGTGTCTACAAAACCGGTACTCGACGAGTTAAAGTCTTATTGGTCACTGATCATACTTGCTAACGATTTTCATTACGTGAAGAACTAACATGTAGATGTTAGCAACAACAGTAGTGTTGTAACAACTGTAATCAAATAGCTTCACTTCTTATTATTTTTTTGTTGACGTTCAAAAGTGCCATTCTGGCCTAATTGAAATAAATGATTTTGACTTTGACTTTGAATCTATATTTATTTATTTATTTATTTATCTATTTATGCACAACACACAGACAGTACACAGGAGAACACATATATAAAAAATTGGAGGTACATAGGTACTACATATTCCCGTAGGAATCTCTTCCTGCAGTCCTTCGACAGGAAAAACGGTAAAAACTATAATGTACCAAGACCATACTGTCTTCTGTACTCTGTACTTACCAGCGCAATACCAGCGCAAGGCCCTTGTACATGCTGAACAGTGAACTGGTCTCATTTCACGGCAGACTTGGGACATGAACATGTATCCATTAATACCTACTAATACGTATACAATGACTTTTTAGGCGTGAAATAAAGTTTTTTCTTTTTTTTTTCTTTCTACTTTTTAAAGCACGATTATTTAGATTATATATTACGTATCTGTTATGTTGTTAAATAACATTATATTTTTATATCTAGTATGGGCGGAGACTGGCGAGTTTCGGGACAGTGGTCACTCATCATTGGCGTCAGTTGGTTCAGGAGTTGAGCAGTCATCGCTCTATGCGCCACCACGACCGAGACGCGACAGGAAACCCACTGACGACAGTGAGTATTTTTGTAAGTTACCTCTCCTACTAAGTTAAATTTTAGTTTATATACTTTGACGAATGCTGTAGCTACAACAAACATTTTTATTTAAACCACAAATCAATCAAAGAAGATATCTCTGTTGTCTATTATTTTTGCGATTGTCTCTAGTCAATGACTATTCTTCTACATACAGACAGATAATTTTAAGATAAGATTCGCTTTCTACCTGTTTATGTATCTATCTCTGTCGTATAGTTACCGAAATTAATCTAAAGCACGCGCTTAACTACGTCAATTTATCTTAAAAATATGTTTTTGCTGCAGTGAAATTGTTGCTATTTGATTTTCTTTGAAGTTTTCACCGATAAATACATATACACGTAACAATCTGGTGCAAACTAGTTTCATAATCTCTATAACAGAGATAAAATTGCTTTGACGTCAATCAAAACTTGTTTTTTGAAGTAGTTTCTCTTCGCATTGAAAGGAAAAACTCGATGTGTTACAGTGAAAACAAAGCAATTTAATTGGTGGACCACACAAAGTGACAAGCTTAAAACTGAAAGCAAACCCAGTAAAGCGTAGGGAAATCTATGGCAAATACGGCCGCGCGTTATTCTAATGCTTTCACAAATAGCCGCGCGAGCACGGCGCGCGGTTACCTAACGGCGCGGTTGTGGCGCCGCCCTAACTTTCTGCACTACGTACATACGTCGGCGCCGTACTAATTGCTCTTTTATTTATACTGGCTGATTTGATTAGCGTTCCTACGGAAAAAGAAATGTTTTATTCTACCGTACGGACTCCATTTGTGAATGTTTGATTTGATGCCACATTTCAATTGAATGTTGAAATTTCATTTGTCATAGTGTGTTATAATATTTCAATACAGTAATTTAAATATACCTATATAAACATGTGGATATGAAAATATCTAGTTTATCGATGATTCTGCGATTACAATAGGCCATTGCGAGCTATCATCGTAGTAATTAATGTAATACCCGTTAAGCTGGTTATGTTGTAATGACAATTATCAGTAAATTAATATTATGTGATTGAGACGATGCCTGCTCGTTTACAGGATTGTCTTAACTGTTAATGGAGAGCTTATAATAACGCCTTGCACAAGACTAGTGTCTTAATAGGTTAAGACGAAGAACATCTCAGGTATTTAATGTCAAATATTTTCTAGATAGTTAATCAATTGATTGCGGCGGTAATACACAGTAGTGATAAAGAAAAGTATTTTATACCTGGTTATCCCCATTATAAAAATCGTAGCTACTTAATTTGTGGTTATCGTAAATCGTAGCGCCTCCAAGTGCGCGTATCCTACTTTCTGAAGCCCCTCGATAACAATCATTATGTTAAGAATGTACACTCGTTATGAACTATTTGAAAGTAAACACATTAAAGGAAACGTTGCGATGTTTTATCAAATCGAGTGTCGGGCTTTGAAGTGGCAACATGTTCTGATATCGGTAACATATGTAACTACGCTGTTTACCAACCCGCTCTTGTCATGTCGGCCAAACGCAAAGGCATAGATTAAATATGTTACCTACTAACGCAAAGGTTAGTTCGAAATGATGGATGGGTCGGCGAACGCTCAAAGCGTATCGCTGATAAACGCTATCGATGCGTTATCGACGCGTATCGGACTTATCTAGGGTTGTCGCAACCTCAACTTACTACAGACCATTCACTTTTATATGGTCCGTGGCCTTGCCCACTTTCAGAAGTTTCGACAGTTTAACGGAACTTTAAATAATTTGTTCAGTAATTTCATTGGCATCGTGCTTTAGGGGATTATGTTGAGTTGAAAACTGATTTATTTACTGCAATAAATCACTGAAAGTAAATTTTGCTCTAAACTGGAAAAGAAAAGTTTCTTTACATCTACGCTTTTATTTACTTACCAAATTCAGGTGAGAACAGTTTTTTGTTTAGAAAAACCTTGTAGCAGTAAGAACTTAAGTAGGTGCTTAGACGAAACAGTATTCCGTTGTTAGTTGATAAAAACGTGGTTCTTACATAGATAGTAGCAGCCCTAGTAGTATCGGCGGATAATGATCGTGGTTTGAGGATGGCATCGGTAGCCGGGTGCCGGGTGCGTAACCTTTGAAACCATAATCCCGCCTTGTTCATTATACACCAATGAGATTGGCGAGCCCTACAGATTTATGTTTTTTCACTTTTCATACACATCTTATCGTTTTACTATATACTGATTTCGTTTTATATATGTACTCGTTGATAGCAGGACTATTTTGGCGAGCGACGGGTTTTGTTAATTTAAAGTTATGTTATCGTGTTTATGTTTCGGTTTTATTTAATTACAGTGACTAAGGTTTTGTATTCTTGTTGCCTTCGTTTGTTGGAAATACATTTATAATACTATATGTGAATTACACTCATCAATGGAGTGAAATTAGTACATTTTGCCACCTTCGCCATTCTAACAAAATATTGTTAATCATAGTTGTCAATAATTTATCTGTGTTTTTGTAATTTTGGCCTTTAATACCAGTAGTAAAGGCTTTTACTATTGAAGAACGTTTTCGATGTATGTGATACGGTGTAACAATATTAAAATTATTCATAGGTACATATATCTATATAGCTATCATCATTGGTGTAGGCATAATATCGGACAGTGATGATTATTTAACGATGTTCAATCAAGATAAGCACCCGCAATAAAAGTATAAACATTAATCCGACATGTGTAATAAATGAAATTACAAGTTAAAACTATTTTATTATACTTGAAAAACACGTAGACTTTTCGCATCACGTTGTCTTGCTACTGTTTCTGTTGAATCACGTACATTATAATTACAATTTATGAAAAATTAAAAGAAAATATTTTTCACGCAAAAAGTACTGAATATGAAATGAAATGAAATGAAAAGTGTTTTATTCGGCATACGGCATAAATGCCAGGAAAAAAATATACAATTTTACAAAATAATAATATAAATGTTAAGTTAGATAAGTTAGAAAGGATCTGAATGAAATTTATATAAAGGCATTGTATTCCAATAACGAGAGTAAAAATAGTTATCTAAAAACAAAAAAAAAACTGTTAGTAGTAGTACGCGCTCTGTAGTTACGCTCTAATGAATAAGAGTCCCGATTTGATTTGAAATTAGTTGAGCTTTTGTTTAATACCTAGTTTACGTGAGTTATTACACAAAAAGGAGAACTTCATGAATTATGGGATGATAATTAACAATCGCAATTACCATGATTGTCGTTATAAACGTAATGACAGATGCAATTTAGAATTCATAGAAGGCAGGGTGTTGACGTCAAAGTGTGGATGCTTATTCGTACCTCACGTGTCTACAAATAATATGAACAAAAATCTGCAGTTTCCTGACTATATTTTGAAATATAGAATAGAATCAGGCATTCTTTTGCCGAAACCCATGCTTCACTGACGAGTAACTCGACTAGTTTCAAGCCATGCTAGAGGCTCATATTTGCACCGTTCTTCTCGCGAGTTACTCGTCAAACAGTTACGTGATTAAGCCGAAAACATAATAATTACTTTACTATGTTTCACAAAAGTTTTACTATAAACAACTGGGTAAATATTTGGATTATATTTCGCTGAAGAAATGCAGTTGTTTGTTGCATGTCGTGTGTGTGTTCTGTGTCGCGTCTCTGTTGCATGACCGTTTATCTGCAGGCGGGAAAGCGATGCTGCGTACTGCATTCTGCAAATTCATTCCTTTAGCGGAATAAAAACTAAATATTTTCCTAATAGGTAGTATATTTTGATAGCCAATATTAAAAAAAAAAGAGGCGTGGAATTAATTTATTTCAAGTCATCATAAGTCACTTAATTATTTTTATTCAGCAGAAAATGTTTTTTTTTTCTAAATGATTGATCATTAGGACCAAAATACATATAGATAAAATGTCCTATCATAAGGAAAAAACCACACGCAGCCATTTTTTTACGTATCTCCAAAAATGCACTCTGTTCTTTTAATTAGGTAATCTAGTACAGTTCCAGAGATAGGAGTTATTGATTAGCGGTTAATTACCTGATAGGGATTATGCAGTAGAAATATTGTAAAGCTTATAAGTAGATGAAGCAAAATGTATGTAAGTAGGTAGGTATGTGATTATGAGTCCAACGCAAGGGATTAATTACTTATCCAAACAAAGAGAATGGAATTGTTCCGACTGATTACAAGTCTATTTGTGATGATAATGCTCATTCCAAAATCTGTAATTACTTGCCTATACCTATACAAGAAATTCTATTCTCACTATTTTGGACGAGTGGTCGTACGTGCGACTGCCGGGCAAGGAATGGACAGGGGTCTCGGGCTGGATTAGCGGTTCGGGCGAAGTATTTCTGGGTTTTAAAAAATAATCTCAGTATTAGCACGTAGTCTGGAATTGCGCCCGGTAGGTATATGATAATAGGTTCATCCCCTTACTTACATGGGACTAACATAAATAGTGAAAATTGGATGTTGGATATCTAAACAGCAGTTTTAAGCAATCACGTACCTAATAAGAAAAACGACACACATAAGATCCATTATCCTATGCAACCTAAATCCATTCACACAGTCTAAGCCCTGGTTTTTGACACCGATGTTCATTCAGTAGTGACCTCTATTGCAGTAGAGACAATAGGTACATTGACACAGGGATTTCGAGCAAAGCCAATATATGCGGCTTGATTGCGATCGACGCGTTATCAGTAATGAATTGATGTAATAACAACATCGTATCACTTGTCCCCTTCGATAGCGCGAGGGAATTTTAACCTAGTAATCACGAAACTTATTTGTCATTTCAGTTTTTTGGTTTATAGCTGTTCTATATTTATTATTAGTCGTTAGTCTAGTTATTGGAATAGGATTGCTGTGTAGAAGGTCCTAGAACTAATTCGTGGTTCAAGTATTGTGTTCAAGGTTGACTTACGAAATAATTTTAGTTTTGATGTAGGTAAAAGTGTGACGTAGTACCTACAGGTTTTGAACTCCAGTTGCTTAGCTTTCTTTGAGTTCTAAACTTTTTAATTTACTTTTATAATTGACAGGAATAGATAAATCTAGTAAAGACCTTCACCCTTCACCCTTCAATAAGTACCTAGTCTGGGAATCCACCTTAAAATAACCCCTTCATTGTTTAGCATCACATCTGTCGTTATGTCTTCTATTTACGCTATACAAATATACGCACACCGCTGTAATAAGAAAGTCAATTTTATTACCATCGTAAAAACCTCCCTAAATACTTTAACATTATAATATTTTTGTTTTTCTCTTAATAAAATTCTGTTTCTCTATTCTGATTACACGCTGATATAATCGCCCATTAAAAATATGAACCGAAAATAGATTTTATTGCATGTAAGTGATATAAATTACGTGAAGTGTGACGTTGCTCATCGAGATCAACGAATTTACGGCAGTGTCGTAAAAGTATTAGTTGTGCTTGCGTCTAATCCGCCGCCGCATTATGGGCTTGCTACCGGTACTTGCGACCGTGGCCCTGATTCTATATTTTTATCTAAATAATATTGAATGGGAGAACTTTATATGTACACGATGTTTATGATGTTATTTTTTGGATATATCCTGTGTGCTTATGGGATAAGATTAGATTTAGGTTGCATTTAGTACCGGTGTACATTTTATTATGACTTTTGAGCAAACATTAGTAATGACTTAGATACATTTGAAAAACACTTAACATATGAAAGCACTTACAAAAAGTACTTTTAAGAACTGCTGAATAACAAACCTGTTACACGAGCTCTATAGTACAACACATACGCAAAAGTTTACACTTAAACTACCGAACTTGGGACTAACTGCCTCTATCTGTTCAGGCAATCGGCCACTAACGTCGGAGCCGACGATAAAGACGGAGTCAACGACTCCGGGGGTCGGGCCCGACGAGCCTTCAATGGACGACAAGGGCGACAAGAAAAACAAGAGACAACGCCGCCAGAGAACACATTTCACCAGCCAACAGCTGCAAGAACTTGAAGCCACCTTCGCAAGAAACCGCTACCCAGACATGTCTACGCGCGAGGAGATCGCCATGTGGACCAACCTCACGGAAGCGAGAGTTAGGGTAAGGATACAAAATAATTACAAAGATACTTTTACCATTTGAGAAATCTTTTCCATCAAGATTAATGAATGCCACGGTATTGGTGTATTTCCAACCACCAAGGCTGTGGTATCCACTTTTTATGTCGTTGTGCGACGTGACAGGAGCGCGAGTGCATTACAATATTAACGAGCTAGATGTTTAGGCTAATCGTCGCATCCGGCGCGTCTTCGGTATTTTTGTGCCGTGCCGGCCGACGGAACATGGAATCCCTTAATCCTCGAGGATTTGATGCGTCTATTTCGGTCTCTTCATAATCCCCGGCTTAAGTCTGATCGCATCCACACTCACTGTCAATAGTTTTGGAAGGCCCTGTTAGAGATTCTGCGGTTGCAACCGAGTTGGAGTGTTTTGCTTGTACTGAATTCATAGAATAGTTAACGGTTTCTTTGGCATGTGGAATGATCGGTTTCGATAATCTCTCGAACACGTGTAGTGAGCAAATTCTTTGTGTATATTTACACACATTTTAACTTCAATATTTTGATACTACATTCGTACATTGTAATTCTTAAGCACTTGGAGATGACATCGTGACATGATGAAGTGCCATGATAAATAGAATTTTAAATGAAACAATTGAGATAAATCATTGCATCTTTTTCATCTTGAAATAAGTGGCCATCAGAGAAAATCTCCAAGAATTTGGCAAGTGTTATATGACATCAAATTGGAGGAGGCCTTTGCCAACTGGCAAACGGATTTACAAAAAGTGAAGAAGCACCAAATACGCGAAAAATTTTAATTAAATAAAAATGTTCTAGTTCACGTAATGTAAGAAAGTATTTTTTTGTTTTTGTTTTTGTTATCCGAATAAAAGGCTTATTATTATTATTATTATTATATATGACATCAATTATCTTCGGTTACTGACTCCAGGACAAATGGGGAAACATAGGCAGATATTGTAATTATACTTTCTATAGATTTAAATCATTCAGTAATATGCTAGGCATATTTACAACCTTGTTAGCTTTTAAGATGCGCAATCGATTTCATAAATATGAAGTTTGCTCTAGAGTCTGGAAATATGAATTCCTACATATTTCAAAATATAATAACTCATAAAGAACAATGAGTCAAAACGTACCCACGTTGTAGCATTAGTAGAATTGATAAATTCTATCTCTAAAATAATTTGGTACTCACCGTAACATTGCAAAGAGTGATCTCGCCACAAATACACCGTGAGCAATTAATTACTCGGTTATCACATGCAGATACATGTAAATCGATACTTTATGAGTTGAACGCGTTGCTTCAAGTGTTAGGTATTCGTTTCAGTGTACTCGACTGCACTGGATCATACGCGTGTGTTCTTCAAAACATTCCCATTTGTTAGCCAGGGTTGTCCGTAACGTAGGACGATACAATAAAGCGATACTCAAGCCAAAATCTCTGCTCAAGCATCGCTAGAAAGGGATGCATTTATCTGTTGAATGTATTTGCATCCCTTTCTAACTATACTTGAAAATGTATGTATCCCACATCGTATCATTTATTCGAAATATTTTCTAATGTAATCGCTTATCAGTTCCGTTTGGCTTTTGCACCTTGTCGATCTAACAGCCAAAAACTGGTTGAAACCCGATAAACCAGTTCTAAAGCTTATCGCCGATGTAATATGACTGAAACTTAAAGTATTAAGTTTGACTGATAGATGTATCTGTTTTCTAAGTCGTTGCATTTTATGGCCTATTTATCGGGGACTTCCCCGTGTTTGGTACTTACCTAATGCAGTGTTATCAAATAATATTACGCATGCAAAAAGCCTTTTTTGTTTAAAGTAAAATTATATTGGTGGCAAGTCTGGAAGCAAAATAGGTACCTATTAGCTTTCTTACAAACAAAATATGAAATACCTATAGATAATACAAATCCTTATTATTATCCATCAAGCTTAATTTCATTGAAATTGATAAAAAATCGCAGTATTTTTATACATCAAAGGGACATGCCTTATTTGATATTAAGTGTCATGATTAGATTTCGAAACTTTTTAATTAATTGTTTTTGAAAGATTAATGTAATGATAATAATTTAAAACGAATGTGCTTAGCTTACATTGAACTCTTAATTCTTAATATGTGGTTACCTACGAGATAATATTGATTATTGTAATATTTTAATTCAGACAACCCTAAACAGGGGATTATGGTTCGTTCGTCCGCGCAGCGCCCGCGCCACCGCGCCGCGCGCCGTCTAATAAATCTGTGCGCGCGCGCACCGATAAATCGTTGAACATTATTTTTGTTACCAACTCATTAGGGTCATTGCCTGCTTATTGACTCAATTAGCGTTCGTAAAATATGATATGTTCGCAGTTTTGTTTTCTTAAACGAGTATTTCCTTGCAAATGATATTAATTGTCAAATTACAATACTATATTTTACATTTGAATGTTATTTTAAATGCTTCAGCTTCCTTTTGGTATTTTTGTCATTTCACGTATTGAAATGTGTAATTGTGTGCTATAAATGGACTCACGTGTCACCATTCTTTTTTATTCACAATTCACGGCTAACTTGACACGTGAGTTATTAGGAATATCTCTAATTCGAGATCAGTTTTTGTTGCGCGGCAATTTGTAAACGTAAAACCGCCCCCTGGCAGTTTTCCTTTCTGAGAAATGAAGCGACACGGGCCGCATCGTCGCGCGTCATGCAATCGTCCGTGAAACAGCTCTTGACACATTTCATTTGACGCGATTGAGACCGCCCAGCGCCGCGTTCCGCGTGACGTCGAATTAGAACATCGATCTAACAAACAAACAGATTATTACTTAACTATATTGACGTAATACAGAGAACTTGATATGAACGGCTTGTTTTGATTTCTAGTAAAAACATGTAATTGTTTTAGGATATTTTAGGTAGTCTAGAATAGATGGAGATTGTAGGATAATTTAGTGTACGTATAGCTATTTTGTCCATTTTATGTAGTTCTCTTATCCTATAGTAAAATTTCTCAAAATTTTAAAGAACATTATAAATCCAAACTACTTGTCTAACTGGTAGTGACAATAATGTATATTATTACAACACAGTGCACGAACAAAATATTTACAAAACTAGAAACAATAAATCTTCAGCCATTTGAGCGGAAAAAATAAAACGTATATCATAGTAATAGTTTTAAGATGTGAAAACATTTTAGTGTGTGCATGTGTAAAAAGGCGTGTATCAAACGCGTCCGCCGACAGGGCAGGCGGCACGGAACATTATTTATTTTACGTGAAAACGGCTCGCCCCAGCGGCTCTCGGGCTGTTTTTGCAATGCTTTTAGTGCACGTTCCTGTCGCCTGTCTCGTTGCATGCAAACAGTTTAGCGAGATTTACCTTGTTTTTACACACTAGCCACGCGCGCAAGAACTAACTCTATGCCTCTATACGCATCTAGTACTAGTGTACTATTCGTATTCTGAATTAATGTGTATTTTGTAAAAAAATGTACTGATTTTAGCCAAACGCAGTATCGTTTTAAATGATAGTTTTGTAATCTAATTACAAATCATATAGTTGCAACTTTATTTAGCCAGCTGTTAATCTATATAATACTTTGTTTATACGCATTAGATGGGCTACTTTTGAATTGATATACGAGCGAAATAATGTAGTCAAATTATATTGAGTTAACTAATCATGAAATAAAGCTCCTTGACATCACTGAGCCCGGTGAGACATCGCATCAATATTGATATACAATACAAACAAATGTTGTTATAATAATTAAAATATGAAACAACACTGTCATGTCCTAACCGCGTCTGGCCCGAGCCCAACCGGTAGTCTCGGTATAATCTTACACGAAGAATTTGTTTCGGTAAACAAGAGATACAGTATTAACGCACTTCAATTACGAAATTTATTTCACTCCGCGTATTCTTGCCAAGTATTCGTATTCTCGGAGAATTTACTTTGTACGTGCAGTTTTAGAGTTTATTATTGCTAGTCGTACGTTAAGTCGAGGCTGAGCGGCCGGCATACTAGATGTCCAATGAGTTATCCCGATTATGTTTTGATAGGCTTACGGTGTAGTGTTGTGATCCCGTGGACTTTGCACGGCGTTAGTCAGGAATTTATATCAATGAATGGAAGCTAAAATCACTTGGCTGTCAGATAGTGCGGTTGTATAACTGTCGATTTTGCGCCAAATTAACTTCAGTAATCTCTGTTTTCTGAACACATAACAATCTTTGTGAGTGTTTTAGTTTTTGTTATTTGTGATTTAGTGAGTGTATGTGGGTGCTATCTAGTATTAAACAGTAATCCTAGTGTTTTGTTCGCAAAAACAATTCACATTTTTGCTACAATTACTGACGATTAGATCACGGTATTGTTGGAGCATTTTTAAGTAGTTTTGCGGGTTTAGTGTTAGTAGAGTATTTCCCATAATACAGGAGTTACTGCCGCTTCGCTCGGCAGGGTGCATTTAATAATCTACTCAACGTTAGGGGCGTCAGCGACTGGTCACGACAGATTAACAGTGGCTAGCTTGAGCCTCTAACGTAGCTGTTCATTCGTATTAACTATGTAGGATGACTTGAAGCACTGTGTATAAGCTAGAAACTTGATGATAGCTCTGCTCAGTACCAAGTACGATATCAATCAGTTAACTCCGTTTAAGAACTGTTTCAAAATATAATGGAATACATTGTGTTTATCAATACAGTTCTTACAAACAAATACAAAGTACAAATACTATATTTGCTTGTATCCATGCATAATTTAATCATACAAAAAGTGTACTTTATTATTCGGTTCCAATGCATTGGCAACCCTGTCTCAAATACAAGTCAATCCCGAGTTTATTATGCTATATCCATTTATGCGAGAGCGCGTGTTTATTTGACTTTAGAATAGTCTCGGACCAATACGTTCCGACAATAATAGTTCCACTTGCTTACGGCATAAGAACTATAATCCTGTGCCCGTAAACTATGGCCATCCTGTCGGATAAACCGTAGTTTGATTGATGACACTAATAAAACTGTGATTCCAGTTTAATTTAAATTTAAGGCAATTTAGCGACCCCGTGGTTCTGCTGACCGTAAAATAACTTCATTACTAGTGGCGGGGTGTCTCATCATTCATCACTACTATCCTAATGAATTTTGGAAGGCCGCCGTTTATTTGGTCGTAGCTAATGAAAGGAGTCGAGTTTGATAGAGTTTAGTGTTTCGTAAAAGATTGTGCCAAAAATGTTTTGTCTTCGTTATGAGAACTCAATCTGTAATTTGGAATAAACAGTCTTGATAGTTGTTAAATTAGTAAATTGATACTTTGAGATTAATTATGAAGTTCATTACTGCTTCAAAATTTTACACATAATTATTGGTGTGGGTACAATACTTTATAACAGAAGCAGATCACCAAGAGAAGCAAAAAGAAGAGTAACCATTTATTAAAAGATCAATAAATATTTCAAAAACAATAAAAAAAATAAAATCGACCTTTATAACCACGATTTTTTCTAAACATGGAAATCGTAGCCTATATGTAGTTTCGTAGCGCTCGTAGCAAGTGCTACGACAACTTACCGCCGCACTCTGAGTGTCATTTAAGAGTCATTTAACCCAGTCCAAAGCAATAATTTTCGAAACAAAATCTTTATTAAGGAATAGTTTAAGTAATAATAAATGTCTCTGAGTATGGCAGTAAATAGTGCGACATAATATTGTAGGCCATAATACACGTCGCTCGTTGAAGGCATGTGTCAGTAGGTACTCGGGCGTGCAGCACGGGCTCACATTAATCTTGCTGTACATGCGCCTCCCGCATGATAACTTGATAACCCACACATCTACCGTCACGCTTCCCTCTGGACGAGCTACGTTTCATCATAGCGAATTTGTTTTCGTACTACGTATAATATACCAAGTTGCAAAAATGTTATTTTGGATTTTATGTTGGTCGCCTTTTAAAGGGATGTCTACTTCTTTGAGTAACTAAACTAATATCAGTCGTGTAATAACAAAGTATAGTATAGAACCCTACAAAATCTTTCTTCTTCATACGCTTTTGTATTTAAATAATTGATTTATAATATTTAAACCCACACGAGGTGTTAACCCTTCAAAGCGACAAACAACCGGCATAAGGAATAAATTAAAATGAACACGCATTAGTATCGATTTCGGAAGCATTAAAAAGTGTCAGGGTGTCTCCTTGGCGGGTGACGGAGGGCGCGGGACGGTCACCATTCTGCAATAATATATTTAAAGGATTAGCCCCGCGTCGCAATATCGCGACCCTCCTCGGGCCCGAGCACCCCGCAGCGTCGCGCCGCGCTCGCTGCCCGCCGCTATTCAAATAATGGAAATTATTTCCACATATGTGCACCTAAATAAATATCATTCCGACGTCATTATTGAACACCCCCGATGTTTCTGTGGAGTTATTTTCACCCGTTTGTTCGCGGTTTGAATGGGAAATAGCGGATGTGTAAAGCTTTTGTTTTGGTAATGGAAGTGCCCACATATTGCGTGTTCCGATTACCGTTAAATATACAATGTTAATCTGGTAAACATCTACAGGTTTTGCAATCTTACAGTACCACGTGCGTGTGAATTTAGATAGTAAAGCGCGGTTTACCTGTGTCACCCTGTGTACGAAACATGCGCTCATGCGAATTTGTGAAATTTATGTTTCGAAAAATAAACGATTGTATATGGGGTGGAAACGACCGTTTATGTTCACTTAACCGAGGAAAGAGGGTATTATTTACCGTTTCGGCTGGGTGAACCCGCCACAGTGAGTGAGACAAATACCGGCGGCGGCACAATATTTATTGCAGTCGCTACGTGGATTGCGCAATTTATCGCGGAGGTGTCGTCGGTGCGATCGATCGCCGGGTGACGGATGCGTGCCATACATCAGCGCTCGCGTTATCTGCGCTCACGGCGACTTATCACCGTACTCGCACCGCCGCGTGCCCTGCAGCCACCAGCGCGGCACAGACAGCTCCTCGGCTGCGAGCTGCCCCCGGTAGCCGGTAGCCGCTCATTTATTTCGGCTCGATCAAGTCGTGGCGAGTGGCGGCACCCGTCCCACCCAATCGCGACGCTCGTTTATCTTCATTTCGCGGCCGCAATTAGACGGGTCGTTGGCTGCGGCAAGCGGCGGGGCCGGGCGGGGCTCGGCCTCCGCTACGTGGCTCGAATACACGCAGCCACCGCCGTCGCCACAGCCACGATGCGACGTCAACTTTGTAATGAGTAAAGTTGATAACTACGCAACGCAAGTCGCGTTCACATTCTGAATCTCGTTAAAACTTGTAGATTCGCCATCAAATCACTGGACACCCAATTTACCTGTTTCTCATAATTTACTTACCTCTAAAAATGGGGCCAAGCTCTTTGCTTCTTAAAGTAAAATGGTTGGACGTCGACGACACTAAGAATATGCCACTAGTAATATGTCTGAATAAACGGAATGGATACGTTTATTAACAGTAATCTTTATTGCAGGTATGGTTTAAAAACCGGAGAGCTAAATGGCGGAAACGAGAAAGAAACGCCATGAACGCCGCCGCTGCTGCCGCCGCAGACTTCAAGAACGGTTTCAGCACGCAGTTCAACGGGTTAATGCAGCCCTTCCCCGATACTGATGCGCTGTACTCATCGTATCCATACAACAACTGGGCTGCTAAGGTGCCCAGCCCTCTCGGCACTAAGAGCTTCCCTTGGCCAGTAAACCCACTAGGCTCAGTAGTACCTGCGAGTCATCACCAGGGCTCAGTGAACTGCTTCAATACCGCGACATCAATGGGTGGTGTCGGTGGCGGTGGCATGGGTGGCGTGGCGGGTACGGGCGGTGTGGCCGGTGGCGTGGCGCCATGTCCGTACACGCCACCCAACCCGTACGGCATGTACCGCGCGGAGCCGTGCGCCGCGATGTCGTCGTCGATTGCGTCACTGCGGTTGAAGGCCAAACAGCACTCGTCAGGGTTCGGTGGTGGGTACGGCGGCGTGTCGCCCGTGTCCCGCGCGGGCTCGGCGCCTCTGTCGGCGTGCCAGTACGCGGGTGGCGTGGCGGAGCGGCTCTGAGAGGAGGCGCGGGGGCGCGACGAGCGCGAGGCCGGCGTGCTGGCGCGCGCCTCCTAGTCGCCGCCCGCGCCGCGGCCGCCGCCCCTGTACTCGCACCTGTGGGACTGGTTCGACTGACGCGCGCGCAGCCTGCGCCCCGCACCGCCTGTGTCGGTGCTGGACGTTACTTACGATACCTCGGGCAATAAAATATAACGACGTCGTTCTAAACTTGTTGTAAATATGTAGTTATGTATGTACGTATACCAAAGCGATGTGTGCAATTTTTACAAGCTTACGATGTACTTAGGTTATATAATGTAAGTGTTTTAGCTTAAAATCGAAAATGTAAATATATAAACTTGATAACTTATTAAATACGAAACAATGAGCATTTGAGTAATAGTGAAATTATAGCAATCGTAAGATTTTGTTTCAAAGTGTCAGTGTTTTGTGTTATATTACAGAGGTGATGTTGTTACTGTATGCTCCCCTCTCCACTCGATACTTTATCGCGTTACGCATTTAACACATGCATATCTAAACATATATCAGTAAAGTAACAAGGAGTGCTCCAAACGTGTGAAGTTCAGTAATTCCAAAACAACAATGATTTTGTAACAGTGAGGATATGTCACGAGTACCAAAATGTGAAATCTAAAATAAAATAACCGTAATCTAAATTGTCATTTTTAAACTAATGTACTTATCAAGGCTACTGCCACACTGTAAATTCAAATTCTAATAACATTTAAATTTTGTTGTACAACAATTGAATTTGAAAAATTTCATGTAAATATAGAGTAATTTTAAAATAAGAATGTACTTGAATCATGTTAAACGGACAATTTTGAATCTTAAATTTTAAACAAAACGAATGAAAATCGAACGAATTAAAAGATAGTATAGAAGAGTTAATGGCAATCATTAAAATTATGATTTTAAATGAATCCATTACTTTTATTTCAACAAAACCTCATTTTAACTGAAGCTTCAAAGTTGGTCGTATTAAGTACCCTAACAATAATGTAATTAATACCATCTTCAAAAACAGCTTTTGAAAGTAATAGGGACCCTAATTGATACATTTAAATAGAAAATTGAATGTCAACATTTCCGAATAAAGGGAACTATCACGGAAAAGGCACTAGTAGGAACTAAGGTCTTTTGCCCATTAAAAAATTTGCTAATGTCAAACCACTGGACATTCTATTATTTGACAGTTACTGTAATTGGACGTCAAAGACTTTATTTTACATTAGTGCCATCTGATAACCGCGAAAAATGATAGTCCTTACTGTAAGTTGCTTGCTACGACTGCTACGAGAAATGCTACGCGGTGCTACGACAATACTTGGGTTCATTACAAATTGTTTTAAATTGTTACTGTATTTTGTAGTCTTTGTCCATTGTCTAATGAAGAGGATTATGAGCTAAGCAAGCCTGCTATTTATCGGGTATGAAGTTCAATATAAATTTAAAAAATACCAACAATTGGGTGAAGTTCGATTTGTGTTCTAGCTAACAAAATTTGGCACAGATTTGTATTCTTGTATATAACTAGTAAAATACTAAATGAGTCTTATTTTCAGTCACTCGTTTAACTCTTTCATTACTTATCTAATTTGTCGTCGTAGCACATCGCATTTCGAAACATTAAAAACTAAGTTTTCCAAAAACCACCCAATACTAGAAATAACCGCTTACACAATGAGATTAACGTAACCAGGATCTCAATATTTATTAAAATATTTATAACTTAACGCCGTTTATGTAATAATTGTAATATATTGTAACTATTTAATTATAAAAACATTCACTAGATGTAAAGTTTAGTTTAATACACGCACTAGTATAACCTACTTCCGTGTGCCTGTAATTGTCAAGGAAACACTAAATTATGAAAATAAATATGTAAATATATAGATTTGACTTTAAATAATAATAATAATATTTGATGTGAAATTCGAGGTTTTCATTTTATACATATCAGGACAAAATATCTGAACACGAATACTTTGTTGACGTTATTTTGTGAGTAACAATTATGAGGATAACAATTGTTTTGTAACTTAAAAAACCTCTAGTCATAATAAAAGATATCACAGAGTATTTTTTGGTTTTACTGTTATTTTCCCCCCTTTTCGTTTGTCGATTTTTTGTCAATTTCGTCGAGTGAGTAACGTTACCGGAGGCCCAATTACCCTCCCCTTCCCAAATCACCCCAATTCCTGAATCCCCAACGATTCTCAATCTCCTAATTCCCCAAAAGGCCGGTAACGCACTTGTAACGCCTCTGGTGGTCCAGGTGTCCATGGGCGACGCCGATTACTTACCATCAGGTGATCCGTCTGTTCGTTTACCGGCTTATGCCATAAAAAAACCGAAAGTTTGTTATTGTGTATCGTATATTACCAATTGTGTTACAAATAAGAAAAAAGATTAGTTCAGCTGTCATTACAAAAAATCTTTATCAATGACTATGTCAAAAATGACAAGGTTGGCCTTAAGTTCAAGAGTCTTCATTGGAATGCATTAAATATTTATTTTCTTAATTCGAGTTAGAGTTCATTTTTTTATCAACGTCTAGAAAGACAGAGACCACTAAATAAAGTATTACATAACATCACGCCTTTTATCCCCGAAGAGGTAGGCAGAGGTACACTTTACGGCAGTTAACGAAAAAGAGTACTCATCGTCAGCCGGGGCATCGTCGTATCGGGATACGAACAAAAGATTTATAACTGAATAACTCTCTCTTCAGAAGGGGTTCAGCCTTTGAAATCACAGTTAAGTCACCAAATATCAAGAGGATGCCCTCAGTTTGAGGACATACCCGTTAAGAAGTATTCCTATTTCTTTTCCTAAGATCAATCCATAAATAATATTGCGAAAGTCATACTCCTGTAACTGAAATACTTGTTCAAATCAGCTGAACAAATGTTAAGAAAATTCTTAAAAATACAAAGTATAGGAAAGGAACAAACCTATTTGTATAGATTTTCTTCTAAATAAATACGTAACTATTATGATAGGAATAATTTTTGATTACTTCAATTCTTTATTTTATACAAAACTATCGTTTTTAATTAAGTTTGACCACTATCTCACCTGGTGGTAAGTAATGATGCGATCTACGATCGAGCACGTCGACCCATAAGCAGCCTATTCACTCCTTCAAATATTCAAGACATACAGACTTTGACACAGAATTCCACTCCTTAGCAGTTTATTCATCTATTTTTCTTAATCAGTCAGGTAAGGTCCAGTACTGCAATTTTCTATATGTTCCACAGAATATACTACCATAATAATACATCTTATTAACCAACACAGATAGTATATATTTCGCCTCTCCTCGTAAGTATTTCACCCGCAGATCACACATCCATAACAGCAAGCCCCGGCCTCGTTGGCCGCTGATATTACCAAAATGAGCGCGACACGCGGATTGGTTCCGAACACGATGATATTAGTGTCCAGAATTCTGGCATATCCTTTATCCGTCATGCCAGAAAATAAGAGGTTTATATATCCGTGAAAATACAATGTAATAATCTGATGAAAATAAGAAACCTTTCCCTCTAATGATATTTCGCTGAGGTGCTGAAAATGAACATGAAGTTGGTTTTTGCAAATCTATCCTACATAGTTTGATCTTGCCTAGCTTTTTAGTAACTTAATGTATCTTATTAAGTATTTAGTGTGTCCTTAGTGTAGAGTCATGCTCTAAATTTTTCACTATAATCTATAATAATAAATATCAAATAAGGATGTTTCCGTTTCTTACCTCTGTTAAGCAATAACAAATACTATTTTACTACCAATGGGTTGATTACATTATAATTATTCGAGTGCCGGAAAATACCTATCGGGTATCAATCGAACCGCACTTAATTATTGCATATAATGTTATCTAAATTATCTTACGGTATGTGAAGCCAATGAGTGTTTAGTAGTCGAAGGACAATTAATGTTATCATTTAATTCGTCTGATGTCAAGAATTTATGCAGGCAACTTTCGATAGTAGTAAGTAATGGAAAAATGGAAAACATGTTCCGAATAAAAAATGAACTTAGGTACATATTTTAGTAAATAATACTAACGCAGACTTACATGTCTACTTTATTTATTGAATAGTTTCAGATACAAGTTTGATTTGGTATTTAAAGATATCCGCGCATTTTAATAGCCAAACTTCTATACAAGTAGGTACCTACTAGCAAAGTCTCAGATCAACATTTTTACTAAGAAACATACCATCATTTCGTCAGCAATGCGTTTTCACCCTCTTATCTTGTTTGTTTACGGTATTGTTCAAATCTACAAGAACATTATCGAGTCGATTATGGTTATTTAAAAAAGTGAATAAGTTTTGCTAAAGTTAATTAGTTACTTAGTAGTTAAGAAGTCAGTCAATATACAGTGTACACGTTTCTACAGGATCACGTTCCTACTTATATTTTTCTACTCTAGGAAACCGGACATTGAAAATATTGAAGGGAGAACGAGAATATATCAAATTGAGTATTGTTTTTCGGCATTCCGTGACTTGCGACGCAGCGACTGTCGCGTTGCTAGGTACTATGCTTCTTCTTCTGCTCATGAATATGAACCTCTAAGTTTCAAGCCAAGAGCTTGAAAGTAGTCGAGTTCCTCGTCAAATAATTCCGTGACTAAAAATTAATTTAGCTAACGAGAATTGGGGAATCTGTGTGAGTATGTTATTTATTATATTATTATACGAATTTTTACGATCACGCTTATGAATTTAAAAATACAGCTTTTGATTATACATACAATTAATATTAGCTATAACTTAATGAAAATATATACAACTTAAAATATAAATAACTATGAACTAAAATATTTACACCTTAAAAAAAAGGTAATAATAAATAAATAAGCTATAATAAGGCATCAAAAAAAAAATTTTCCTCATCATTATCGTGAGGTAGGGTGCCCAAAAGACTGGCAGCATTACCACGTTGAATGGCAATGCTTAACCTTTGTCCAAGGTAGAAGCCAGCCCTTCGATCACCTGAAGTGTCAACCATCCTCTTTACAATATCTTTGTAAAGAAGATGTGCACTTGGGCCCCACGGCCCTAAAGTTTCAACTCCAAACGGTTCGAAAGCATAATTGCCAATCAGGCTATCATACTTTCGCCGTTTGAGGTTCTCGGCAGCAGCAGCGGCAGCACCGGCTCGACACGCTGAGTTTGGAAGATGGGATGGCGCCAGAGTATCAACGCAAGTGGCGTCCCATACTAAAGGCCTACCCATCTTCCAAGGGAATAATGACATGAATCGCTTATGAATCATATTGTTCTTCTCATAATTATATTGAACAATTGATACCTATAGCTGCTGAACTTGTGGAGGTGTATAGGCCCTTGAATAATTTTAGTACGTAAACAGTTTTTACGACAATGTGACTTGTGATTACACGTGTTTTTATGTACCTAATTATACAATATATAAGCTTAAACTTGTGATGTTTGCGACTAAGTTCAGTCGCAGCCAACACCAAAACTAAATTCTAAACAAATGAATGAAATAAGTAAGCGCAACGCAAATAATATTCATGACAACAAATCTCTTTTAAAGCCACCAGAAAAATATGCAGTGATTTTAAACAATATAGGTAATACTGAGTAAAATAAAATGTTCGAACGAAACTAGGTCTCTCGAATGCGACAAGATAAAGTCGTTTCTACAATGTTGCAGCGAAAGATGTGTATTATAGTGAAATGGAAATAAATTTCACGTTACTGTAAGCTATTTTATAGCGGCGGTCGACGACGGCTGCCAGCGTGGGAGATAGATTGCGTTGTCATGGCAACGCAGCCCTAGACGCCTTCTAGCCGAATACACTTGAAAAAAAATAAAATGAGGTAGTCCTACTATTTATACATACATTAAATATTGGGTGAAAGGCTGCTGCAACTCTAACCTCAGATCTCCTATGATATTTCGCTACTTGATGTGTATGCAAAGTTATTAATATTTGCATTACTGTTCTCCTAATTTCGTATCAAAATTCGTTAATTTATATTATAAAATACCCTTATTAGAAAAAATTCAAACATCATAAATTAAAACTGGTCCTAAGCTCCGAATACCAATGAATTGCCACCAATTGATTCATGAAAATCTGTGACATTAGCTGGAAAGTATACAATAATCCTGCGAATGATTATCGGCGTAGCGGCGCGGGCGCGGAGCGGTCTCGGCGCGGACTCGGCGCGGCGCAAACACACAGTTTCCAGGTGCTCGAATCCGAGCGCTTTAAGGATTTAGCCGAGGATTTGCTTTCAATATTAGCCGCCGGCCGCCGGGGCAGGCCCATTCCGTTCCGCCCGTACCTTTTTTATTATTTTGTCGCATCGTTTTGGCTCTAAATGGAATCATTCCGCCATCTACATTTTTATTTTTCAATTGCTCCCCGATTAGTGGGATTAGCCGTATCGCTTTCCGATTCTTTGCTCCTTTTGGTGGGAGCTTTCGCGGACTAACGCGGCCGCGCTGTCGCCCGTTCTAATCGCTTTCGGTTTGGGACGCGATCAAACGATATTCGGGTGGCGCGTTGATTGTGCCGTACGGGTTTGACGTCAAAGGTCGGTTTCGGCCGGTGTGTACAGCACTGTATTTGTCGACGCTGTCATTATCAGAGAGTCAATGTCGAGTTTTTATTATTTGATGTTTAATTAGGGTACATAGTATTTGTACACGGTTCCGTGTGTGCGCAAGCACGAGTGTGCGGTGGCCGCGACTGGAGCCCGCGCGTCACTGCGCTTATCTTTTTATGGTGACAAACATTAGCATGGCTTTTTATTTTATCAAGGATCGCCTTAGTCACCGAGGTCCGGAGTCTACGTGCGCATGTAGGTACCTTATCATATCAACCCTATATAATATTTACTTGAAGCCAACATGAGATGTAATACGAACGTAATACATGTAGACGTAAACACGATGCGACGCGAGCATACGTGAGGAGAAGTAGCTGCTCTGATAATCACGCTGACAGTACAACTCTCTGACGAGTTAAATTAATTAGACTCCAATGATGACTAATTGCAAACATGATGTGAATTAATAAA